TCTCTCTCTCTCTCTCTCTCTCTCTCTCTCTCTCTCTCTCTCTCTCTCTCTCTCTATATATATATATATATATATATATATATATATATATATATATATATATACATACATATACATATATTTTTTTTCTCACCCTCTATTTATATTCTCTATCTATATTCTCTGTCTATATTTTGTGTGTGTGTGTGCATATACACAGACAATCACACACGCACTCACTCACTATACCGTGCACATAAGCACAATTTGCATAAACCATTAGACACAGACCACATGGCCGTTTGCCAAGTGGCTCGAAGTCCAGTAAAGAACCATCGACTCACCGAGGACTTAGATGATGAGTTTATTTGACCTTGTTTGACCCTTCAGTTCGTGTCAAGAGGTTGGCGCGATAAGGTCTAGGGTTTAACAAAAAATGCAAAAAACAATATTTCTACATTTTCGACATTCTCATCAAATAATGAAACAACAGAATATTTGCTTTTATTCTTTTCTCTCTGTTACCTACATAATATCACAAACAAGGAAAATAAAATTCCCAATGTAACAATATTTCTATTTTTGTTTAGCTTTTAATTTTCAAAATACAGTACACTGAAAGCAAAAGTACAGATAGTCCCCTACTTTAGAACATTCTACTTATGAACATTCCATACATACAAACCAAATTTTTTAAGTACTTAAGTCCAAAAAATTGTTTGATAGATGCTAGCAAACTTCAAATTTCCCGGGCGCGAATAGAGTTCAAGAGTCTGGTACTGTATAAGGTATGTCGTACCTATTGGGATTTATTTACAGGTATTCTTAATGTAAACAAAACTTTAAAACAATGGGAAAAAGGTAATGGAGACCCTACTTTCGACATACAAACAAATCAACTTACAAACAGCCTCTCTGTCCCCATTATGTTCTTAAGTTGGGGACTTACTGTATACATTTTTGAATGCTTTGAAGAAATGATAATAAATTATTCAAAAAATGCTTTTGTCAATAATTGGTGATCATAAATATCACATTAAAATATCAAGAGGAAAATTTTCATAATATTTGGATTTACATCAATTTACCAAATGCAATTTGGTAAATTGGTATTCTTAGGATTAGTTTTAAATTGCTATCAAATTCAATGGACAGTTTTATTTACCTTATTTACTAAGCTAACTTTTGGCTTTTAAGTTCTGTATACATAACCATTTCTCTGATTAAAAAGGAAAACAGCTACAGTAAGAAATGAATATGAATCGTAACGTTTCAAACTCTTCGTGAGTCCCTCTTCAGACGAATAAGTCAAACCGGAAATTCAAATTCCATTTATTCATCTGAAGAGGAACTTGAGAAGAGTTTGAAAAGCTATGATTTATATTCATATCTTACTGTAGCTGATTTCCTTTTCATCTTTGTGTACACATTACTGTGTTTGTGTTTATGTCAATTTCTCTGATTCTTATTACCAATAAATTAACATTCACAACATCAACTTATATGATAACAGAGTACAAAAAATAATAATACTCCTATTTGTAAGCTAGTTCTCACTTACCAGGAAGGGTTGAACCTCTAAGCAAAAATATGCATAAATCTGTCATACTTAGGCACATGGTAAAAGAGGCAAAGGACAGCAACATTTGCTTATTAATCTGTCATGTTAAAGGTTTGACAGTTAATGACTAGTTTATCTGTCCTTGTAGGTGGAATTAGCTCTGACTATCCTATAGAAGTAAATGCTTATACTATTTTCTCCAGGTTACAGGCTCTTTTTCTAGGCTCCACCAGCATGGTTTACAAATTTTTTTGCAAACCTTTAATGCAACGATTGTAGATGTGTAACTCTCCTATGAGAACTGATGCCTCTCCATCAACCCAAATATCTACCTCACAAACTTCCTTTCCTTCATCCTCTGGCACAGAGAACGTCCTGAAATTGGAAAAATGGGGAGGGACTAAGAATTACTCATTGGTTCATTAATTTCTGTTGTGCTTCTCTCGTGATAAAACTAACATGAATACAGCTGAGAGAGAGATGAATGAGAATGAATAGTTTCCATAATTCATGACAAATTATTCATCCTCAATGTGACTTCCTTTCACAATGTTTACAACTTTCAAAATTCTTTAATTTGCTGCTATATTTATGAAGCATGAATATTTCTATTAATTCTACCAGATGTCCTGTGCAGCTATAGGCTCAACCATGGCATTAGGGGTTAAGTGTTAAGTGCAGAAACCATATGCTGCTTCACCACAGAGTGATTTATGACACTACTGTACAGGATGAGATATAGAATGCTAAGTAGTTGAACAGAACAATATATCCCTCTCAGTGCAGCAAGAATAAGAGATCATATCATGGAACAACAGGATGTAACACCAAACTGATGGCTTTCATCACAAAACATCCATCACTGGAATGGAGCAAGTAAAGGAAGCAGGATATTTACCTGACAGAAGCCATAGCTGTGGCCACAAATCATTATTACTATTGTAATAATATAATTAACTATTAATAAAAAAAAGATGATCATGATATATCACCCACATTCAAATGTTCAAAATTTACTCACTTCTGTCTCCATCCATTAACATCAGTGTCAACCACAAGGCTTGGACTGTTTTCACTTGTTGCTGTCCTTGTGTCCTCCTCACAAGGCAAGATGATGTCTTCTTCCAATGGTTGGCCAGTGGAGTCTCCTGCTATCGGTTTGTGCCGAAGAATCAAGCTAAGAGGTATCATAGATTTGCTCTGCCATTTGTATACCAGGGATATTGCCAGAGCAACCTTCCAGCTTATCTTGCAAGTCAACAACCTTGAGAAACAGATTAGCTTTCCTTAATCTCATTAAATTATTAAAATTAAAGCTATCAGTTACATTATTTCATTATTATGCTTACCAATACTATCATCACTGTCACAACAGCTTCACTAACCTGATCTTAGTTGGCTTTGAAGTTGTTAATCTTAAACAGCCTCCACCAGAAAAAGCGTCACTGGTAACCAAAGACAAGTTCCCACCATCAACTTCCTAGAGATAAACACATCATTCAACAACTAGAACCTTTTAATTGTGGCTTACTTTGAACATGACATCTTCAACATGACTATGTCAGAAGAGAACACAATCTAAAATGTCTAAATATTTTTGAATTGTCTAATTATGTTTACTTTTCAATCTTCTTTACTCTACATAGCAGCTGATCTGGTCTCAATATGGCTACCATCTTCTGTAACTGACAACCTGTCAAGAATCATAGATTTTAATACAAAAGCTGACTAATAACATATGATCATAACTGTTAAGTTGATATAAAAATATAATTCAGATATTAAATCAAAATACATAAATCAATTTAATCAATCAAAACATAGGTGTCTTTTAAGCTTCACTGAATATCTGAATTGCAATACTCATGGAAACCAAATAAACTTAGTCTCATACAAATAATATAAGATCCACAAGAATTTACTTGTATGCAGGGATTAACAGATATCTGTATACAAGAGATATCTGTTTATCTGTCTATTTACAGAACTCTAGTTCTACACATTGCAAGATAAAAACGTCTAAGCATCTTCACATACTAATTCTGGAGGGCCATCAGGTAAGCATTTACTATCCATGCCTGACAAAGATGGTGAATACACTTATGCCCTAAGAGTAATAAGATACTCTTCATAACTCCAGTGAAACCTTATTGAAAGATACTTTGAAGCAGCAAAAAACCCAAAGCATAATAAATCCAGAATTTCTAAAAAATATATTCTAGTTCCTTAAATCTTTTTATAGCCACTAAAGTAAGACAAAATGACCTACCTGAGACCACAGAGGCTGGTACTGTTGTTTGCATAGGTTATGCCAGCTGTCACTGCACACTACCTGCAGTAATAAATTCACTTATGAGAAGGATAGTGTAGTGTTAAACCAGTAAACTACAATGTGAGAGAACTGTATTGTCGTGAATTACTGATGTCCAGTGGGAGGTGACAGGAATGCTCATTGGGAGTTCCCAAGCTATTGGAGATTAGATTCAGTGGGTTTTTGCATTATTTGCACCACTAAAATAGGGTGGAATGTACTTTCAGTGGAAGAGTGCTAGGTCCATCAAGGACATTATTTCCAGTATCTTACTCCTGCCAGCCTTGATCATAAGTCCAGGGTGTTATAGAAAACTGAATATTATGAAAATGTGTGAAAAGAAAAAAAAAAAAGAAAAGAAAAAAATCATATATATACATATATATATATCCCCTTGGTGCCGGGTGACGCCGGCTTGCAGCCAAACGAGCCGGCAGCGAGCCAGTGATTCAGGCTGACGTCCCGTACTCACGCGCTCAAAGTCGGCGCGCCGCCTTTGTTTGCTAGAGCGTAGTTTTTTTTTTTATCTTTTGTACACCCGGCGTCATTGGGATATATATATATATATATATATATATATATATATATATATATATATATATATATATATATATATATATATATATATATAAATATAAATATATAAATATATAAATATATAAATATATAAACATATAAACATATAAACATATAAACATATAAACATATAAATATATAAATATATAAATATATAAATATATAAATATATAAATATATAAATATATAAATATATAAATATATATATATATATATATATATATATATATATATATATATATATATATATATATATTAATCATGAGAAGAAATAAGTAAGAAAAATAAGAGAAAGATTAACCCATTCACGACGGGTGTCACGTATCCGTGACATGCCCACTGTGATATTACTTGTTTGTTTTTACACATAGATGGCTACACTTGTACTTATACTGCCTGTCTCGCCCATTTACCCTTTTCTTTAATTTACGAAAATATTTTATGTTATCTTATTTTGCTGTTACTAATGTTTATGATATTATAGTAATTTTAATGTTTATAATAAAAATAACCATCGATATTCATAGCACTAGTAAAAAATACATTTTTCCCGCCAATTCAAGTAAAGGTGAA